TGAGGAACGAGCCTTGCCAGCAGCTCTGCTTGTGATGCCCCTCTGATAGCTCTGTGTGTGTGTGTGTGTGTGTGTGTGTGTGTGTGCAGAGCAGCACTGCGGCAGGCTGTGATTGATGGTGTGTGTTAGGAAGCTGGAGTCACAGTCATGGCTGAGAGACTCCTCATTCTGCTGAGAGCAGCACTATTGCACACGTTTCTTTCTCTTTCGTTCTCAATATCTCTAATCTCTCTCCTTCATTCTCCCTTTTTTCTCTTCCTCCATCAGTTTGTTTATGTTCTTTTCTTCTTCCTATCCTTTGATTCTTTCCACTTCCTTCCTCTCTGCAGACCAAACACAGGCAAACAAGACACCTTGCCTCCTCTTGCCCCCTCTCTGTTTAGGTTTGTGATATTCTGCAAATGACCAAAACACTATCCCTCATCACATTTCCTCCTCTAGATTTTTAACCACCGAGTGACTTGCTTCCATCATCACGAGACCTTTCTTCCAATTCAAATCATGGCTGTCCTCCATCCCTCTCCGTTTCCTCCGACTGTTCCAACTACTGCAGCATTCATCACAATGCAGACAGCATTCAAATGAGTGCAGCACATTTGCTTTTTGCCTCACTGTATCCGTTATCTCCACCTCCGCTGCTCCTTCCCTCGCCTCTCCCAACAACACCTCCTCCGCTGCTCCTTCTCGCTACCTTTCTGAAGACAAAGGGCTCCTCGTTGTAGGCTGGGTTCAGTCCATTGTTCATCACCATACGTGTGCGGAACTCCTTGCGGATGGTGTCCGTCGGCAGCCCGTACATGTCGACCTCAACATATGTGCCGATTTTCTTGTCCGACAGGAACTGTCCAGAGAACACCTAAAGTGAAAAGGAAGACGGCATTATGAGTATTTTTTAAAGTTGTAGATTTCACAAGAACATTTTCTGGTGCAGTAGGTATGAGGTACAATCAAGCACCATCTACTAGAGTAAAGATATGTGTAATATAAGATAACGGCTGATTTCTTATTGATAATATAGCTTTGTGCTAAATCACTGATTTTCTTAACATTTATAGGATTTAACAGTTTTGCTGCATGATTGAAGCGTGAGATGACCTGACCTGTACGCTGCAGGTTGCAGCGATGACTCCATCCACAGGCGTCTCTGAGAAAGGATCAAACATCCTGTCTGACCGCCGCATGAAGTCAGGCTTCAGCAGGTACCTGACACACACACACAGACACAGACACACACACACAGACACACAGACACACAGACACAGACACACAGAAGATGAAGCAGGAAAATATACAAACAAAAATCAATCTGCCTTTTAGATGAAATGTGGGAGCACTGATGTTGTTCAATACATAATCCTAATAATTTCATACATTGTTTCTAAAATAATATCAGGAGTAAGGAGGTATGGCATGAGAAGGGACTAAGGCTTTGTGTGTGGGAGTGTGTTAACCCGGGGCCCAGCAGAGTGGTATTAGTAATGATGGGTGTCTGCACAAGCCCTGATCTTCCCACATATGAGATTTCCAGCATTAGCAGTAAAATCTCTGCCCTCGGGGACAGTATTAGAGCCGAGGGACGGAGAAAGGAAGAGATAGATGACTGCAGAGCGCCTCGGAGGCGGGTAAAGAGGAGTCCCGCTTCCCCAAAAGCACTCATCGGCTCTCACAGTAGATACGCTCGCC